GCTCAGCGAACTGAAAGGTCAGCAGTTCGAACCCACCAGCTGCTCCGTGGAAAAAGATGTGGCAGTCTGGTTCCATAAAGATTATACCCTTGGAAACACTATGGGGCAGTTCTACTTTGTCCTACAGGGTTGCTATGAGTCGGAATCAACTCAACAGCAGTGGGTTTTTTCCAGACTAAGAAAGACTAGGAAGAGAGACCTAGTGATCTACTTCTAAAATTTAGCCAATGAAAAGCCTATGGATCACAACAGAATATTGTCCGATATAGTGATGGAAGCTGAACCTCCTAGGCTGGAAGACACTCTAAATATACAGTGGCCACAACAATGGACTCAAGCATACCAATGATTGTGAAGATGTCACAGGACCAAGCAACATTTTGTTCTGTTGTACATGTGGTCACCATGAGTAGGAGCCAACTTGATGGCAAATAACAAAAACAACAGTCTTTATTAAGGAGACAAGAAGCAGAGCCCAAGCCATATTTTGTGAGGGTGTTAGGTGGGCTTGATATTTCTCTAAAATTATTAAGCCTACTGATCTCCAGTACTTTCTTCTTTGAGGCAAGAAGTGAGATGGAGACTAACAGGAGGAATGTCATGAGTGGAAAGGAACAATAATAACAACAGTGGAAGTAATAAGAATGGACATTTATTCAAACATTTAACTCTGGGTCTGATATATACTAATAATTTTACATGGACTATGTCATTTAATCCTCACAAATAACCTTATGTGGTAGGCAGCCTAAATAGAGAATTAATTTAATTTAGCCTTGATAATACCAAAAACCCACCAAACCCATTGCTGTCAAGTTGATTCTGACTCATAGAGACCCCATAGCATTTCCAAGGCTGTAAATCTCTATGGAAGTAGAGTGTCACATCTTCCTCCCCCAGAGCTGCTGGTGGTTTTGAATCACCAATATTCTGGTTAGCAGTCAATCACTTTAACCACTGTGCTACCAGGGATCCTTAGGCTTGATAATAGGAAATGCTTTTTTGTGGTTGAAAAGTCAGATTCCCGTATGCATCTGAATTCAGCTGAATCCCAAGGAAGAAAAAAAGTGTAGTGATCAACTGACCTCATATAATTTCATCTGTGTTAAACGTGACTTGTAAAGACGTAAAAATATTAATTACTAGTCTAGGTTCCTTAATTTCCAGATGAATAAATCTGAGACTCAGAGATTAAAGAGACTTAAGATCAGAGTTGTCAGAGACAACTCTCTCCTAGTCTGTTGTACTTCCCCATACATCGTCACTTATTATGCAGAGAAGGAAACTACATGCCATTATCTCTAATTTCTAACAACCTTTACCTGCAAACATGGTCCGTTCCATACAAAGAACCTTTGGAATCTATGTCAATGAATTAGGTCTATATGACTATATATTAACCCCCAAACTGCTCACTTCTTCTCAAATTTACTCTCAAATTCACTGCAATGCCTTGTAACTCAAAAGATCTATGTGATAAACTTCCAAATTCAGAATAATATTAGGTTTGAATAGTCTAAAAGATACACAGCACAAATTAATATGGACTTCTAATTCAGTCTTAATTCCCAATACTGAATTCTGTTTTTTAATTTCTTTTAATAATCAACTAATCAATTTATATTTAATGCTTGACAACTGATAAGGAAAAAAAATGATGAAAAGGAAGTTGAGCTTAAGAAAAGATGAAACATAGGAATTCTATACAGAAAAAAAAAGAATAGAAAGGGAGAAAGAATACGTGAGGAAGGGATGATCATTTACAGAATATGTAGAGGGAACCAAATGATGAGATGAAAGCTTGCTCAAGCCATCCTAAAGAGTTCCTTCTGACCTCAAAACTCTTGAATTGAAGCCTGCCACCGACTTTTAGCGAACTACTACAGAATCAAAATGTAAATTCTTTGGAAGCTTGGAAGATGGCTTCTCAGCAAATTGCTCATGAGAGGGTTCTACTCATATAGTTCTACTCATATAGTTCTACTCATATAGTGTTCTACTCATATAGTTCTACTCATATAGTGTTCTATTCATATAGTTAACCATGAACGACTGCACACACAAACACACACACACACACACACACACAAATCATGGTTATCAAAAGCATTAAATTTTATTCTTCAAGTGATTTGCTCTCATATGGCTGCATGATTACCTCTTGATTTTTTTTTTAATTTTTTTATTTTTGGATGGTGGGGTGGTGGGTGGTTGCTATTAAGTACTCAGCCAAACATGGTTAAATTATATTAGACTTAGAAATAAATATCCTAAAGTACTTTAAAATTGCATTCTCTTATCAAGACCAACTAAAAAATTAGAGACTTCCAGAGAACATGGAGTTATCTATTAACAAGAACAGCTAAAAGGGGAAAATAGTGAATATTAAGGTCAAATTTATCAACAGGAAGATAATTTTTAAGCCTGATTTTGTTTGGTCTTTCCATGTTTTAAGAAACTATGGAATTTGGTGACATATTCATTCAAAATGTTATCCATCTGGTTATGACTCCATGCCACAACTTTATAGACTTTAGTTTCAATTTGGGACAGCTGTAGCCTCCCAAATGTCCCATTCTGGCAAACTCCACTGAGTAAGCAATGTAAATATAAGCATTCGAGGATTACTACTCTAACTAAAAAGCCTGTCTATTGCTTTATTTTTCAACTGCCACTAACATGTTTAAATTATAATTGCATCTTCTCAATGAGCACAGTTTCTTATTATTGGAATTGTCAGGGGGTCTTGATATTTGAGTCATCATTTCATTATGTCTATTTCTTACCATGGTATACAAATTAGAAATACAAGTCAGATGAAATATATCAGGAAAAAAATCTGAAGCTGTAACTTTAAACTGAATTAATTTTTTCCTCACGTCTACAAAATATATGAAGCAAATTATGTTGGTAATAATATATTCTAGTTCAGGCACATTTTCAAAAACACTAACTTCAATTCCAAAGGCCAAAAATGCTCAAACCCTCCTAGTCAAATATCATACTCCTGTAAAATAGAACTCACAGCTTTAACATTCCCTAAATTAAAAAAGATAGAGTATTTTAAGTTGTGAAGTTACTAAAAATATAAACAAAATAACTCATTTATCAAGTTTCTTCAATTCTAAAAAACTTTGAAAATGAGTACCAATTATTGAATATATATATATATAATGCACATATATGAAAAATACTGTTTAAAACATCATTGTGTGATCAAATAGGAATAATAATAATTTGTTCAGACTGAAATATACTAATGTGCCAAATTGGAATCTGTAGATTTATCTTTAGACATTTTTGAATCATTGAACTTATATGATAAAAACATTACTGAATGATTTTCCTAAATCACCTGATTCGGTTATACTGAATAAATACATATCATTCCATCTTTCTCAAGTACTTTGTTTAAAAAACTCCCATAGAACTTCAAAATTATAAAAATTAATCAAGGATAAAGTCAGTGCTGTATAAAATCCTCAAAAATGTCTTTGGCTCTGCTTTCAAGAGGCTATTTCCTCATTTATTTATTATTGCAGGCACTCCAGAATATGTGTAGATTGTTCATTTACTGGGTTTGTGATTGTTTCTGCAACTTTTTCTTCCTTTAGCCCAGAGCAACCTGTTCATTTCTAAAAGCCAATAACTTCCACAAAATGCTTGGGAACAAGCTGAGCAGCCTAAAAAAATGTTTTATCCTGATGCAGAATACTGGAAAAAAAACAAAACACTATTGGAAACTGAATGACTATACAGTCAAATGTCCATCCTGGCAGTTAGTATTATTATTCCCTTTAAACACTAGAAGTATATTACCAAATATAAAAATAGTCATGGCTGATTTTCTTTGCATTTTATTATTTATTTTAATGTTGTTTTTCAAATTTTACTTATGGCAAAATGTCTGTGTTAACCCAACTATTTTAAGATTTATTTCTGGTACCTTTTTCATTGTTTATTTAAAACTTATTACAGGCAGTCCCCGGATTATGAACAAGTTCCATTTCTATCTTTAAGTGAAATCTGTATGTAAGTTGGAACAGTTAGGTACAATTTGTATCTAACATCAGTTAGTCAAATGTCTGTCTTAGTATATAGTATGTAGTGTACTTTTCTATGCATAAAAAAAATTAAAGAAACACTTCCAGATATACTAAAACATCTTTAACTTAATAATACAGTAATAATAATTTTTGATGCATATCACAAAATAGCACCCGTTTGTTATTACAAACCATTATGTACCTCAAATTTTTAATATAATAGGCTTTACAGGGGTTGTCTTGTAACTATGGTTGTATGTAAGTTGGACATTCATAACCCGGGGACTGCCTTTAGTACAGATTGTTCCAAAATAGATTCTAAAATTCTACAATAAAGATATCTAGTTCCATGGTATCCTCTCTTAAGGATTAAATTTGTTCTGCCGGAAAGAGTTTCTATTTCAATACTAAAAAGAAGAGGTCTTGAGATACAGAGTCACTTAATTTCCAACTTTAGGGGAATACATTATTCTGTATATTAAGATAAAAATAGAATATAAACTAGATGTTCTTAGATTATGAAATTTAGACGAAAACTTATTCAAAGAGTAGTTAGCTTTTTATCTATATTTACTTAAGGACAAGGTATATAAGACCCACCATGTTCAAGTCAAAGCCTTATAGTTTCTCTCATAATTTGATTTCCATCTGTGGAAATATTCATGGGTTTATAGTATCAGGTTTTTAGTGAGTCCTATCATTTTTCTAATTGCCATGGTAGTATTAATAAATGTCTTCTTTTTATATGCTGAAATAAATTAATGGATGAGGCGGACACTATGCAAAATGACTGGGAGTAGAGCCAAATCTTATTACTTACATCCAGGGACCAATAATTTTCTAAATGACACTTTAAGCTCTCTTGCCTAAATAACTATACCAGCACGTAATTTACTGAAATAATTATCCACTCTTCTAGGCCCCATCACCCATCTCAAGTCCATGGCCACTTACCTTGTCTTTATTTTCAGTGCCAGAAGCCTCAAGCTTGGTCCTAATCACAAATGGGGTGGATAGTCGCAGCAGGACCCTTTCAAAGGTGGCATTAATCTTTGGGTAAACAACCTCAAAGCAGTCCCCAAACTTGAGCACTTTGTGAATGTCACATCGGAGCTGCTTCCTTAGGCCTTCCCCCAGCTGAAGGACTGACATGTTGGAGTCAAACATCAAGTGGAAAGGGAAGGCTCTGCAGAAGGTGTTGATGCTAATTCTAAGGTCCGCAGGAACTTGCGATGTTCCCAGTGGAAGGTTCTTTGTGATATTAGTATTTTCACATTCTTTGATAAGGAAAGTAAGACAGCTACAATTGCCTGGGTTTGAACCATCCGAGCACAGCTTCTCATTGGCAACCTGTTCTACTTCCACATCCAGCCGATAGATCTTCTTTCCTGCAGCCTTAATCATCCCCAGCATTGCAAACCCCACAATATGGTGAGGATGGAAGTAGTGGAGCATGAGAGTACCTTCAGGGAGCTCTTTGCATAGGAAAGATGGTGACTCCAGAGTGGCCTGTTTTCCAAAAGAAGTTCTAATGTGTTCCAACAAAGCATCAAAGCCATTAAAAAAGTCCTGTAATGTGCCGCCTACAGCTCGAAGGACTCTCTCATTCTCATGAAAGCATATATTAAAGAACTCCTCACCAAATCTTTCTTGAATTTCCTCAAACTTCAAACCTAGAGGTAAATGGGAAGCAAATGTTAGTGAAGTGTAATAAAAATAACTGAATTTACAGTTCTTTTAATGCTTATCAAATAAGGTAGCTAGTGAGTGAAGCATGAGTGGTATCTCCCTCAGGTCCACAAATATCCCAAATAAGTTAATTCATTCATTTTGACTAAGAGAAAGTTCAGTATGAACTTTTTCAATACTGTTAATCTAGTTGTTCACTTTTCTTTGCAATACCGTACTCCACTTAAGGTAATTACATCTCACAAACAATATATTTTTTTTTCCTTAATGATATCCTTCACCTTTATAAAATACTCAAGTTGCCTCTGCTTCTATATTGTATCCATCCATATCATCATCTTACTTTTTATCAAAATACATTCATTAAGTGGAAAATATCATCCAAAGAGGAAATCTATGATACATGTGTGGGGAAAGATACCAGGTTATCTAGTAGAAACAGAAGGGCTTAAGTTAGTAATTTCAAAAGAAGTCATGCAGTTCAGCTAGACCTCAGGGAGAAAGAGACAAAACAAGGAAAGAAAAATGGCAGAACTGTGGAATGGTTTTCATTCTTTCACCCACAAGAGTGAGGACAGGCAAAAGTGTAGAAGGAATCTGATCAGAGAGAGTTAAAAGCCTTTATCAGGTTTTCATACTCTATCCTAGATGCTCTGGCAAAAAGAACTACACTTCGTGGTAATGGTATAATAAAGAAAAAAATAAACTCGATTCATTATACAGTTATTACAAGCAGAGACATGTATAATCTGGTTAGATCTATCCATAAGGATGATCTGAGGGGAAATATGGAAGGAATTTATGGCCCAAAGAGGAAGAATACAACAGGTATAAAAGAGTTGTGCCTGTTTGGTAAAGAAGGCTTACACAGAATATTTGTTGCTTTCCTTCCACTTGGGGTGAAGTCAATACATGTAGTTTACATATTCACATTTTCTTGTCTAAATCCATTGCCACTGAGTTGATTCTGACTCACCGCAACCCTACAGGACAGGGCAGAACCGCCCAATGGGGTTTCCAAGGCTGTAATCCTTGCAGAAGCAAACTGTCACATCTTTCTCCCACAGAGCTGCCGGTGGGTTCGAACTGCTGACCTTTAGGTTAGCAGCCAAGCACTTAACCACTGTACTACCAGGGCTCCTTTTTCTTGTCTCGTCAACTCCACATTATAAGGATGTCCTGAAAACTAGGCACCCGGGACTGGGAAAAGGCAGAAGGTCACTTTCCTCAGCCCTGTTAGAGTGCAGTGATCTAGGCTGTCTACAGCTTGGTTTGCTATTCAAACCTTTATAATTCCCTTGAGGGTGTCCCTATCCAGAAGTGGAGGAATAGGACACATAGTCGAAAATATTATACAAAAATAGAGTCAAAACACATTCAATATTTTTTTCAGCTTAAAATTGAGACTACAAATTGTGATAGTCAAGGTAAGAGGTCATTTTGACAAAGAAGTTCTTGAAATCAATGTGAAATGAAAAGAAGGGGAAAACCTAAGTGAAAAAGAGTCCCTTTAATTAAGAAGTAATTCACATTAATTTTTTTCATAGATCTGATGTTCAAGACAAGCTGAGAAAGTCACTTATTAAGAAAAAACATCACCAGTCATCTCACATTGTCATTTTATGAAATTGCCCTTCAACATTGGTTGCAGTTACTAACCATAATGCCAGACAAAACTGGTAAGAATTGCATTTATCTGTACAGTCCCTAGTGTGGAAGAGAGAAAACAAAACAGAGTATATTCTGAGCTCCAAATCATCATTCTGCTTCTGTTCGAAATGCTCCATTGAAACTGCTTTCCAGGACTTCCAACCAATTCGTTCCAGTTCAAACCTCTGCTGAGAATTTGCATTTCTAACAAGTTCCTAGGTAATGCTAATACTGTTGGTTAGGGACCAATTCTGAGAACTACTAGCAGAGCCAGATCAACCAAACCAAACCCCCGGCGTGGAGTTGATTTCGACTCATAGCAAACCTACAGGACAGAGTACAGCTGCCCCATAGGGTTTCCAAGGCTGTAAATCTTTACGGAAGCAGACTGCTATATCTTTATCCCATGAAGCAGCTGGTGGATTCGAACCGCCAACCTTTAGGTTAGCAGCCCAGCACTTTAAGCACCATGCCACCAGGCTCCTTACTAGTAGAACAAAACCAAAAACCCACTGCCATCGAGTTGATTCCAACTCATACAACCCCATAGGGTTTCCAATAAGTCTCTACAGAAGCAGACCGACACATGGGCTCCATGCTAGTAGAGCATGGCTCTCAAAATTTATTATACATAAGAATCACCTGGGGATCTTGTTAAACTGTAGATTCCGATTCAGTATATCTGGAGTGGAAATGCAAATTCTCAGCAGGGTTTCAAACTCAAATGAACCAGTTCAAAGCCCTGGTGCTTTCATAATTACTTAAACTAGTATATATCTTTATCTTACTTAACCTTGTTTATTTGTTTTTCCATTAATTTGACAGTTAACCATTTCTTCCTTCTAAAATTCGTTCTCCTCCCTTGGCTTAGTAAAACCATACTCTCTTGGTTTCATTATTATCTCTCTGAAAATTCATTCTCATTTATTTCCCTAAAACTTCTTTCTATGCCAAATCCTTACATCACAACTGTATTGCAACTAAAAAAAAAAAAATCTATCATTTACAAATTAAATTTATGTCCCTTCAACAGCAGTGCTATTTGTTGCTATTATATTTTCTAATTATTGATTTCTTATTAAAAGCTAAAATGAGAAAAATATAAATTTCTCAACTCTGATCATATCTACTGAATCGTAAAATCCCATGTGCCACTGAAAATATTCCATAAATTGCTTCTGAATTTTGAAGAGTTGTATCTTTAAAGGACTTTAGGGCCTCAGTGCATGGAAGAGAAACAGAGAATTGCCTCTAACTTGCATTTATCATAACACTGAAAGTGTCAACACGGTTATTAAAGAACACAGATATAAAGATAATACAATAAGCTTGTGTTCTGCTTCCAATGCCAGAATTCCTAAGAATCATCCAGAAAATAACAAGTAAACAGACTCATAAGAGGTAACGCAATAAAAACTACTCTGTGTGCATCAATCTATCAACTGGAAGTCCTTGCTGCTTTAAAAAGCACTTCTGTACTTTAAGGTACAATGATTGTTAATTCTTAAATGATGACCCTAAGGCCCACCAGGATGCTAAAGTGACTTTTGTATCACTAAAGAAAAGCTGAATTGTTTGGAATATTATATTCAAAGATTATGCATGGTAATAATATATAAACCACAATATCCAATTAATCAATATAGATTTTTATCCCACAATTGTTAAATTGCACAAGATCAGAAAAAATAAAAATATTCTTAGAGTTTAAAAAATTAAAATTAGGGAAAGAGCACTCCAACTTTGTGAATACACTATGAATCAACAGCAAAGATTTTCATTTTAAACCTTATCTCAAAATTCAGAAAGCAAAGAGAAAGGAGTTCAGCTCAGACAATTGAGGCAGTTCACACAAACCAACATCCCACCTACGACTGATGCAAACCCCCTACTTACAGTAAATCACTTGAAACATATAGACAATGCTCATCTCCTCATATCACAAAATGCTGTGACAGGTTGACATTTGGCTCTAAAAGAATGCATTTCCTCAAGAGGCAAAACGCATAACAAGACTGCTCTCATCATTAACAGCTAAGTAAAAAGTTGGAATTTTAAATTACTATTAACTCATCTCCTTAAAAAAAAACAATGAATAGCTTAATTGTTGACATCCTTTAGCTATACATGAAACAGAATCTGCTCAGTCATGACATGGGTCTGTTGTCCCTCATCTGCTAACCATCCCACCCCAGACTGAGCATTTCTTGAAGTTAAAGACATCCTCTTTATGTCCGCATACATTAGCATAATATCTGGCACATAGAGACTAAGCATTCATTCACAGAAACTAAGCATTCATCTAAGTAGTTGTTGTTAGATAAATAATACCAAGTTTCTAAGCCTATGGTTGTGCACATCTAAGGATACCAAGATAAAAAGGCACATCCTTTCCTCTCACTCTCACAAGACCCTCCAGATAATTAAAATTAAAATGCAGTGTGGCTGGGCCATACCAGAAGCACACAGAGGATCTACAGAGGTATGGGAGAAAGATTGTCTGACTCTCCTCAGGGATATAATGTTTGAACAGAGGCTTGAAGGAAAATAAGAGCATGCCAGTGGATGGACAGCAATGGAGTATGGATGAAGCAGGGAGGTGGGAAAGCCAGTCATGCTCATGGAAGAGTAAGTAGTAACTGTATAATGGCTGGGGAGTAGGGGTGGAATGAGTTGTTATTTAATCAGCAACGTACAAGCTGTATGATGATACCCAGACTAGAGTCAAAGACACTAACCAGAGAGATGTTGTGATGTCTTTAAAAGAAAATGATTTTGTCCTAAATTAGGCAGTCTTGATAAGAAAAGAGAAAGAGAGCCAAGCAGCGTGTAAACACTTTACATGTATTACTTTATTTAATCCTCCTAAATTCCTAAGAAGTAGATATTTTTATTGTCCTCATTTCACAAGCGAAGATTTTAAGAAATTTGTCCAAGTTCACACAACTGTAGCTGGCAGAACCAGTCTTGAAATGAAGTCAGCTAAGAGTAAATCTTACATAATAACTACGGTATCCAAAGAGTAAAACCTCCACATAGGAAAGAAACCATGTATGTCTTGCTTCTTGTTATATCATTAGTGCCTGGCATTCTATCTGGCACTTAGTAGGTGCTCACTAAAATATTGGCTGCATGATGAACAAATTGATACATCACTGATATCAACAGAAAGGAGCTGCAAGGAGTAGTCAATGTTGTCAAGTGATACAGCAAGGTTAAGTAAGATAAGGGCCAAAAACAGTCTATTGGATCTGTCCGGTCACTGCAGACCTATGCCAGAGCAGTTTTACTGATGGGTGGGGGCAGAAGACTGATTGTAATGGGCTGAAGAGTA